GTCGAGATCTGAGCTCTGAGATGATCGAGAGCTGTTTGATGCATTACGCCAAAAAATGCATCCCTGGAATTTCGCGAACGAATAGGAAGCCGTCGTCGTCGTCGTCTTCGGTAGTTCCAGAGAGCGAACAGATAGAGCTCTTGGAGACCGTCATTTCGAATCTTCCATTGGAGAAAACCTCCGTGCGATCTTCAACTTCAACGGCGACGAGATTCTTCTTCGGACTGTTGCGCTCGGCGAACATACTGAACGTCTCGGAATCAAGCAAAGCGGCTCTAGAGAAGAAGCTAGGATCGCAACTCGAGCAAGCGACTCTCGACGACCTCTTAGTCCCGAGCTACTCGTACCTGAACGAGACTCTATACGACGTAGATTGCGTGGAGAGAATTCTAGCCTACTTCTTGGACGGCTTGGAAGAGACAAATTCAGCTGTAATCGAAGGCGATAACGGTGGCGGCAATGGCGTCAGATCGCCGTCACTAATGCTCGTCGGGAAACTAATCGACGGATACCTATCAGAGATAGCCTCCGACTCCAATCTGAAACCTGAAAAGTTCTGCAATCTAGCGTTATCTCTACCGGATCAAGCGAGACTCTTCCACGACGGCCTCTACAGAGCCGTTGACGTCTATCTTAAGGTATAATCCCAAATTAAACTTAACGTTGTCAATTGAATTAGGTTTCTGCTGCCAAATTCTGAAAATTTTCGGTTCTCAGGCTCATCCATCGATATCGGAATCCGATCGCGAGAAGATCTGCGGCGTGCTGGACTGCCAGAAGTTAACGCTTGAGGCGTGCACGCACGCCGCGCAGAACGAGCGGCTGCCGCTGCGGGCGGTGGTACAGGTCCTCTTCTTCGAGCAGCTCCAGCTCCGCCACGCCATCGCGGAGAATCTGATCACCGTCGAGGCCGCACAGACCGACGCCGGCAGGCTCTCGGTCCTCCGAAGAGAACGAACCGACGAGGAAGACAAAGAGGAAGCCGAGGACAACGAAGAAATCGGCGAAGCCGAGAACCAGAACCGCCCTGGGGTACCGGCGGCGGAGGGTGACACGTGGAGGGCCGCGGTGTGGGAGAATCAGGTGCTACGCCTAGACATGGATAGCATGAGGACGCGGGTGCACGAGCTGGAGAGGGAATGCTCGACCATGAGGAAGGTGATCGAGAAGATCGATAAGGAGGGCCCACCTGGAACTGGTAATGCCGGTGATGGTGGCGGTGGTTCAGGTAAAGGATGGAGAGGATCGTTGACCAGGAGATTCGGTTGCAAGTTCAAGACTCAGGTCTGTGATTCTCATGAACCTTCAGTCGTGGACACCAGAAAAGGACGACGAAATCACCATCAGAATCATCATCAGCATCAGCAATAGACGTTTCCTCACACGAATACATTCAATGGGTCCCATGTTTTTGTCATGTGTGATTGAGATCTTACTTACCACGTCTAAATTGATAAATAAAAGTATTTTTTTTCCTATGTTGGAATTACAAGCCAAAAAAAATGACATTCTCCGTGCGTTAATGTATCATCAGTAGGTTAATTTATTAAATTTATATAAAATCATATAAAAATTAAAAATACACTAATTTAATAATTAAAAATACATTATCTACTAGTACTTCTGGCATACGAGAGAACTAGACAAAAAAAAAATGTTTCCTACTGGGCTGATTTTGTTCATTCGTCTCTGCTTTTGAGGTGATTAGGATGAGTGGGTGAAGAGTGTATAATGTGGTGATGATGATGATGATGATGATGTATAATTTGTGAAAACTGAAAAGGAGAAAAGGAAAAGAGAAACATCAAACTTTGGGGTCTTCTTTAAATGTTTATTATTTGCATGTACACATTAAATACTTGACTTTTCAATTCTCTTTTTTCTCACCAATTCAAAGTAAGAATTATAATGACTTTGGATAGTGTTAAGTGTTAAGGGTGGTATGATTGCCTAACCTTTGTCTAAAGCTTTTGGGTTTTGAGAGCACATGTTTGTTGGATCTTTGTTTGTGTTGGTATTTTTTCTTGACTCGTGATGATTACCTTTTCTGTCCAAGGAAAATCTGCTTCTTTAAGAAGATTCAAAAGTCACATGAAGGCCCTACTCACCGGAACAATCTGCTCATCCCCAGATAAAAAGTTTTTCTTTTTTGCACCTCTTTTTTATTCTAAGGTTCCAAATCACCAAAATGGGACCAATGTCCTTGTAGAGGATTTAGTCAACTCATGAGGGCTCCAACATCATTACATACTGGCATATGTTACCTTACAATTAACATGGAGAAGTAATTAAAGGGAACATCGAATTATTACCTTATCAAGAAAAAAGAAATAAAAAAACCCTCTCATAAAATCAGTCGTTGATTAATGATCGGTAATTGCCCCATATATATTTATAATCTATCCACAAATTAAAGATCCGGTTGAAGGTACAAGTTCAACGAGACCATAGTTATTGATTCACAAGCCGACCATGTGAGAAATCATAATGATGAACAATCACAGAACTGCTCAGAGCCAAGCTTTTCCAGGTCTGGAGAAAACTACCCTCCATGTCTCTAAAGTAAACGCCTTTTTTTCCCTCAAAAGTTTCATTTGAATGGATTTGACTGAATGAGAAGAATAATGTTAAGATTCAACTCTAATCTCAATGTTTTACCAATATATGAATTGTTGTTTTTTTACTCATAAATATTTAAAAAGATTACCACGTTAATAAATTAAACCTATCGATAAAAAATAAATAACACAATAATTAGTACAAAAAGTTAGAATTAGAGTTGTAAACTAGCATCATTCGACTGAGAATGCACTTGAAGCAAAATGAAATAAAAGAGGGAAAAATTACATAAATACTACTTAAAATATGTCATCTTTATATTTATGCGACTCTTTGACATAAATTTATCATTAATGCCACTCAAACTAAAAAAATATCTTGGTAGGAGATTTTTTTAATACCCTGCTATGTTATGATGATTGATTGTGGACTAAAGTTCTTTCTCTCACTCTCCCACACAAACCAAAGAAACAAGAGTGAAATGACGACCGGAGTTCCAGGGCCACCTCCAGGCGCGTTGCTGGGTTCCCGCCCATGAAATTTGGTCCTCCGGCTCGCCTCGTCGTAAGCTTCTCATTAGTGGTGGCGGTGTACAGTGTGGTGGCTCCGTTTGCGTAACTCTAAACCAATTTGGAGCTTGGAAGCCAAATTGATGGGCTTCGTTTCTAGACGACTTTGTCGTTTGGTGGCTGAGATCTCTTGGTTGGCAATCTCCCTTAACGGCCCATTGGCCGGTTTCCCTTCACCAGAGGCTTCTAACGGCGATGGTTGGAGGTTTTTTGTTTTTGTTTTTTTGATGTAATTTTTGTGTTTATAATAAGGGCGGTGATCTCCCCACCCGATCCTCATTTATTTTGTTGTTTGTTGTTAGTTTTTGGTGATCGGCTTAAGGCCATTTGTACGTCTTTGGATAGGGTTGTCTTGGTACGGCTAGAATTTTTTATATGTCATGCAGACGTCCCCTCTTTGTGGGATTTGGTGATATGTCCCTCCAACGTTAGAAAGCTTATCTCGATGGGAGGGGTTTCTTCAATTCGAGCTTTATGTGTGCTCGTTGTTAGTGTGTTAAGGTGTTCTCCTATTTTTGGGCCTCATGCGTGCGTTGTTTATGCGGATTCTCAAATGTCAATTTCTGGTGGTCAGATCTCCTTCCTCGTCATCCTTCACTAACTCCTTTGCTACTGGGCGTCGAGGGTTGTCCTGTAAATGACACTCTGACACTCAAGTAAGGCTAATATTAAAAAAAGGTATAGGATGAGAGAATTAAGACAAAGAAGAAGAAATAGAATAGTGTCTCTTATTCCAATTCTCTAGGGATCGACCCCTTCTCACTGTTTTCTATTTATACGACGTCTATTGTGATCAGATGAATATTCTTGATATGACATGCCGTCATTCATTTCCCTCTAGGGTTTCTCTTTAGACATTCCTCCTTTGGAAGGTCTTCAGAGATTTTTCCTCCTTGGGAAATGTCGCTTTCTATTTTGTTATTCACTTTACACGTGTCTCGTTCATACTGGACGCTTTCAATGCTGTTAGCCTCCCGCTAACACAAGTTGTCCCCACCATCACCTCGATCTTAGTCTATCTTGGTCTTGTTGCGTTAGAGCCTTTTGTCGACCTCGGTCTCGGTCTCACTATCTCGATTGAGGCTACTACTTCCCTTGATCGAGATAGGTTTTAGTCTAAGACTCGGTCAACATATAGGTCAAGGTCCTGGTTTTCTATCTCCTGTCGATTCGTGACACGTGTGTGATCTGAAAGTTTCTCGAGAAAATCCCCCAATATGCGTCTATCCCTCTAATGGGTCCTTAGCATTGTACTGAGATAATTGTTTATAAGTTCTTAATTAAGTGCAATTTCCCTTTCAAATAAATATCCTACTATGTTATATTTTTTTCTGACAAAGACGGTCGTTTTTCTCCACTCTAATATTTAGAGCGTATTTTTTATATTCTAGAGAATAGTTTTTTTAAAATCAATAAACATAGCATAAATGTAAAAATTTTAATTTTTTGGTAGTATAGTACGTAGTTTTATGGGTGATTTACACATATAGTAAATTTTGAATATTAAATTTTAAATTTAACAAAATTTTTTAAATATTACAAGAATAGCAAAATTTATATTATTTTAATAGCATTCAAATAATGATTTATATCATTAATAGTACTAAATATGATATCATTATGAAAATTATTATGTCATTTTTATTATACTTATAATATTTTAAAAATTTTGCTAAATTTCAACCCAAGATATGAATAATTACTACTAATTGTAATTTTATCGATAGGGAAGAAACTGAAAATTGGACCCACAGTATAGGCTGGACTTGATGGATCAATTATCCCCAATCATGGGCCCTCCATCATCTGATCAACAACCCAACAAGCTGAATTCCCCTTGTCCATGACGATCCATGAGAATTGAAAATTCTTCTCTGACTGCGCCACGTGGCACCCAAAAACCTTTCCACGTTCTCCCGAGTTGTCTTGCCCGGGTGGTGTGAGTGAGAGAAACCCAAACTAGTCTCAAAATCCCACCAAAAAAGCCGTCGGGGATCCGAAACTTCTGCGTTCGTTTACATTTTCTTGTTCTAAAGCTCACACTCAAGCTGAAAACCAGGGCACTCCACACAGTTCATAAAACCACCCAATAGATAGAAATATTAAGGTCCCAAAAAAAAAAAAAAGTACATCAATTTGTTTATCTGTTTTTCTCTCGTTTTGGGTAAAATATCATTGGATTGAGATCTGAAAGAAAGAAAGAGAGCTGAAATGGGGAGGGATTATTTGGCCATGAAAACGGACCCAGCCACGGCTGATTTGATAAATTCTGATATCAACGAGCTGAAGATCGCTGCCCAGAGGCTGATCAATGACGCCACTAAACTTGGTGGATTGGGATTTGGCACTGTTTTTCTCAAATGGGTCGCTTCTTTTGCTGCCATGTGAGCTCTTTTTTTGTCTCTACTTTACCACTTTATGCCTCACTGATGAATACCCATTTGTTGTTCTAAGCTATTCTACTTGTGTTTGATTCGGCTTCTTTATTTTGAGGTGTTTTGATGGAGAATTTGCACAGTTGTTGCCTTGAATTGGGAAAACTGACGATAAAGTTCCGATTTTGCTTTTTTCTTCTTTGTCATGTTGCTTGTTTTACAGAGTTCTTTTTTTTTGGCCCCTTTAATGTCAGTTGACTTGTTCAATTGCTAAATGGAAGAGTCAGTACAAGTGATTTCTTTTTAATATCCCAATCCCATTGCCTCTAGCCCACTTCATAGTTCGATCCTTTCACATTCTTGCGTTATAATATGTGTTATTGGAGAAATCAACATGTGACAACTTTCACATTTAGATGATTTCAGATTCATGTTATTAGAATCCCATTATGCTCAAATTTCATCTAAATTTTGTAGCAAAAACAAAAGAGACTAATAAATAGTTAGTCTAATACTATGTATCCCTCTTTTGAGTTCGTAATGTAAGAATGTGACATAAACAAGCAATCAAAAACATGGATGAAATTTGCTTGATAGAATTGAACCAATTTAGCAAAATATAATTTCTTTGGATTACTTTGAGCATTCTCCTTTGGAGTTGCACTAACTATCTTCCATGTTCATTGCAGTTATTTGTTGATATTGGATCGAACAAACTGGAGGTCAAACATGCTGACTTCGCTTTTGATTCCCTACATTTTCTTCAGTCTTCCCTCAGTGCTGTTTCACTTTCTGAGGTGATTAATCCCGCACGTTAAAGTAATTTTCCTTGGAAAGGTCTTTGTTTGTTGCTAAGTTTGCTTCATTTCTATTCAGAGGAGAGGTTGGAAAATGGATAACTTTTATTGCAGTTGTGCTAAGGCTTTTCTTCCCTCGACATTTCCCAGGTAAAATGCTCACTTTTACGGTTTGTGATTGCTTTTTTTTTTTTTTTTTTTCCCCTTGTAGAGCTTAAGTTATATTTACTTGAGTTGCTAATATAATCTGAATCAAATACTAAGCAGGCTTTATGGCTTATAATCCCATTACTTATATTTGAGATCAGATGCTAAATTGTATCATTATTGGTAATCGGTGATCAAGAACGAGTAACAGATTAACCAAATTTCAGAAGAATGAACACAGAAAAATCAACTAGTGAACAATTTTGTAAAACGTATGGAGAAAATCTTCTTACGTCTGTCCCTGGGAGTGGAATCCACCAAGAGGATCACTATTCATGAGAAACCATTGAAACCCGACAGACCATGATGAATTTCTTGAATTCTCTCTCACTGAACATTTCCAAGAGCACTTATCAAAAAGAAAGTCTCAGAATTCTCACGGATCCTACAAAGACCAAATATGCCCTACAAAGCAATCTGAAGCTAGTAGTACATGACCATTTCCAAATTTGCCCTTCAACTGAAAATAACTGACTATTTTCTGTTGTTTTCTGATCTGGTTTTCAATCATTCTGTGCCACATTTTCCAACGATTACCTCAAATTCCTGAAGCTAGTTGTTACAAGGCAATTTCAAAATTGGCCTTCAACTAACGATAACTTCTTCGATCTGCTCTTGCCATTTTCCAACATATAGTCTATCTACTTGTTTCATCAGTCACAACCCCAAATATAATAGATGAAGATTTTCTTTGCATTGTCATTCAATTTGAAAAACTCTCGCACAAGCAAAAACACTATCCGACCATTTGCTTATGTCGTAACAATCCATGACCACAATTGCAGTATCTGCAAGCACAATACAAAAAAAACAAGAACAAAAATGAGAAAGTCACACCAGAATTACAGTAACCAAACAAAACAAATAAAAAAAAAAAAAGGAATTGCAGAGAAATTAGAAAGAATGACACCAAGATTTAACAAGCTTCATAGCAATGAACTCCTACGTCCTCATGACTGCTGCTTGTGAAGATCACTAACGGAGAAAGAGATTTATACCCTCAGAGATCAGTTTCTGAACTGTATCAATTTCCCTCAAAGATGTCTTAGAAACCCTCTGTGATTTTCTCATTATTTCCTCTCAAGGCAAACAAAAATTCTCAGTACAGAAATTGCTTTTAAATCACAGAAATTTACCTAGTGTTCTCTCTACAATATTCTTGCTATTTATACTCTTAAAGAACTAAAACTAAGAAGTCGTGCAAACTCTTGAAAAATAGCCTGATTTTTTCTCTAAGAGAATTGGTTGTCACTGCCTTTGCAAGTTGCAAATACTCCAACCGTGTTCTGTTAGCAATGAACTCCAACTTGGCTTCGAAACTGACTTGGAACGTCTCCAATCACCATATGCCACCTCATAACAGCTCAAATTTTTTATGAAATCTACAGGAACGCCTATTAGACTATCTTGAATCTAAAAATGCCTACTTATTCTTTTTTTTACAAAAACATCTGCCGTCGTACGTAATGAGAAAAGGGAAAAAACTAATGAATCACCAAAATAGGAAAGATAATAAAATAAAATCTTTGATATTCAGATTTAAAAACAAAAAATAATAATTGAATTTAGTGAAACTTAAATTATTTCAAGAGTAGGAAAGTTTCTTACACAAACAAATAAAAGCACCTACCCAATTTTTTTTGAAAAAATGAAAATAAAAACCAAACAAGCATCTGCACAATAGCAGATAAAAACCGCAAACGGCAACCTAATTCCACTGCCCGGCCAAGTTCAGATTTCGCTATATTAACAAAATCATTGCAAAGTTCAGTATACTTCTTAGTGCTTTACTATAACTCGGCTTCTTTTATAATAATGAAATCATGAAATCAAAAGGGAATTGCAAATGTCTGCATATTTCTAAGTTCTTTTACTATAACTCAACTCTTTTAGTAATAATGAAATCACCAAATCAAATAGTTCCAGCAAAGGTCAGTATACTTCTTTGTTCTTTATTATAACTCTGCTTTCTTTATAATAGTGAAATCACCAAATTAGAAAGGAATTGCAAAAGGTCTACGTACTTTTGAGTTCATCTAAGTTCTTTATTATAACTCAACTTTCGTTATAATAATGATCTTTGTTTTTTGCTATTACTCGGTTTTCTTTATAATAAAGTGCAGCGTTTTTTTTATAGAAATAATAATGAAATATTTACAATGACAGAATTCTTTATACTAATGAAATCACCAAATCAAACAACTCCTTCAAAGGTCAGTATACTCGGTTTTCTTTATAATAAAGTGTAGCGTTTTTTAGGAAATAATAATGAAATATTCACAAGACAGAAAAATGATTACTCGTAAGAAAACTATTTTATTATCTTAATAACATATGTTATCAAAACAGATGAATATAAGCCACATAGATAAGCCAGATATGTAACAGTTTAACAATTTAGTAAGTGGAACAAAACAAATAAATACTGTTAAATAAATCTGCTTTGCTTTATTAATCGAAAGAAAGTTAACTTAAATAGACTAGGGCTTGAATACCGAGTCCATTATCTTCTCTAAGATAATCTATCCTATTTGAATTCAAATACTAATTGATAATTCCTAATCTAAATAACCGGAAATAATAAACTAAATAATAAAGATAACTATTGACTTATTCAACCTATCTCTAAAAGATCTTATCTGCTAACACTCCCCCTCAAGCTTGGCTGTAGATATCAATATGCCTAAGCTTGCCTACAAAATACTCGAACGTTGGTCCAGAAAGTCCTTTGGTGAGTATATCCGCAACTTGTTGTCCTGTAGGAATGTACTCAATGCTGATGATTCCCTTCTCTAGCTTTTTAGTAATAAAGTGTCTATCCACCTCCACATGTTTGGTTCTATCATGATGGATTGGGTTGTGTGCTATGCTGATAGTAGCCTTGTTAACACAGTAGAGCTGCATAGGAAACTCACACCTGATCTTCAACTATTCTAGCAACCGTTTCAACCAAATTGCTTCGCAGATGCCATGAGCCATGGCTCTTTATTCAGCTTCAGCGCTGCTTCTTGCTACTACAGACTGTTTTTTACTGCGCCAAGTCACCAAGTTCCGCCAAAGGTGTGTGCAATATCCGGATGTTGATTTCCTATCTTCGACAGATCCGGCCCAATCAGCATCAGTGAAGATTTCCACTCTCTTGTTTTCTTCTTTTCCAAAAAATAATCCTCTTCCCGGAGTCTTTTTGAGATATCTCAATATCCGATAAATAGCTTCGAAGTGTCCTTGGTGCGGTGAATGCATTTGTTGGCTTACCACACTAACTGTAAAGGCGATGTCCGGTCTTGTATGTGAGAGGTATATCAGTTTTCCCACTAGCCGTTGATATCTTTCTCTATCAGCCATCTCTCCACCAATTGCTTTTGCCTTGCCTCCTTGTTCAATTGGAGTTTCTATCGGTTTGCACCCCAACATACCCGTTTCTTACAATAGGTCTAGTGTATACTTCCTTTGTGATATGGAGATCCCACTTTTGCTTCTTGCAACTTCCATTCTCAAGAAATATCTCAGCGTACCGAGATCTTTAACTTCAAACTCTTCAGCCATCAACCTTTTAATTCTCGTCATTTCTTCAAAGTTGTCCCCAGTAAGTATTATATCATCTACATATACTATTAGGACTGTGATCTTTCCATCTGATGAGTGCTTAACAAACAACGTGTGATCGGTTTGTCCTTGTGAGTATCCGTGGCTTTTGATCACCTTTGAAAATCTATCAAATCATGCGCGCGGAGACTGTTTTAGTCCATATAGTGATTTCTTCAGCTTGCACACCATCTTGTTTCTCTTACCCTCTTCAAACCCGGGTGGTAGGCTCATATACACTTCTTCCTCCAATTCACCATTTAAAAAAGCATTCTTCACGTCAAGTTGAACCAGAGGCCAATCTAGATTTGCTGCTAATGATAGGAGGACTCTTATTGTGTTGAACTTTGCAACTGGGGCAAATGTCTCAGTGTAATCGATTCCATAGGTTTGTGTAAAACCTTTTGCAACGAGCCGTGCTTTGTACCTTTCTATTGATCCATCCGGCTTGAATTTGACAGTGAATACCCATTTGCATCCGACCACACTCTTGCCTTGTGGTAGTTCAACCACACTCCATGTGTTATTTTTCTTGAGCGCTTGCATCTCTTCAAGTACTGCGTTTTTCCATTTAGGAACAACTAGAGCTTCTTCTATTGACCTAGGAATATTGACACTAGACAACTTTGTCGTGAAGGCACGGAAACATGGAGACAAATTATCATATGACACAAATTTGGATATGGGATGTTGTGTACATGTTCTAACACCTTTCCTATGGGCAATTGGTATATCTAGCGTTTCACAAGTGTCTTTGGAATTACCTGGATCTGAGGAAGTAGTTCCTAGCATTGGTTCGGATTCTGGACAGTGCATGGTGTTCATGAGGGGCCTGTTTCCTTGAGAATGTTTTTTCCGAGAGTAAACATGTAGCACTTGTTGATTTGGTCCACTGAGGTCTCTTCCTGTTTCTGTTTCACGAACCGGTACTTGTGTTTGCTGTGGCATTTTTTCAGAGGGTGGTATGATGTTGGAAGTGGTAAGGTCGGATGTGGTGGGTGTAGTTGCAACTGTTTCAGTTGCAGCCTCGGGTAGTGAGGTTATAGACATAGGTGGAGTTTCGGATATAGGCAGAGCAATGGTGTCCCAATCCCATATATGAGCTTCTTGATCATGATTCTCCCCCTGAAGCGAATTGGGGGAATAATATGGCATGTCTTCGAAGGAGGTGACATCACGCAAGATAAACATTTTCTTTTGCTTAGGGCAGTAGCATCGGTATCCTTTATGGGTAGGAGAATAGCCGAGAAAGATAGTCTTAATTGCTCGAGGGTCAAGTTTAGTTCGGTTTTGGGCATGAATATGGACAAAAGTAGTGCAGCCAAACGTCTTGAGCGGAAGGTTATTTATGGTTTTAA